CCGGTCACCCCAACGTTCCGCTCGCTGCTTAGTATTTGACAGCGAGGGATACATTATAACGCGGAGGGTTTCAACCCTTCGACGGAGATGCACGCTTCTGTTGAAAAACGTTTTAATCCTTTGCATTCGAAACCTCCCTCCCTATTCATTATTTTCTAGTCGAATGTTGATTAATTCATTGATTCTATTGAATGGAAATTACAAGCGAATTAATGAAGTGGATAAGACTGTTCAATATCTCCTGTGTAATTATCTTATATATAACATGCTTTCGAATATTTCGTTAATTGAGAGATATCCGAGTACATTTCACGTAGTCGTTTCTTATGATTGACGCGATTGTTCAATTCGATACGTCTAATTCGGGCGAAGCGATAAACATGCATCAATTCCTCGTTAAGCAATAAATATCGCGAGCAATGAAACACGGTTGAGCACCGGCATAGATCACGATATTTGCGAACGTCTTCGATCGCAATTCCCGTGCAATCCAGTCGGGGGGTTCCGTATCCGATGAATCCCCGATTGAAACTTCCGGATCGGTATAAAATGGAGAATCGAATAAAATAATATTCAATCGAGGGGAGGATCGTAAAGAGTCGGCAGCTCGCAGAGAGCGAGTGACGAAATTGACGGGACCGCGCCGGGTGTGCCCTTTAAATCGCGGGGAAGATAGCAAGGTATTATCGCGGACGTTAATCAGGATATTGTAAAATGAATTTCTGTGCAGGGGCAGTTTTTGTAGCAGCTGCGCGCGCCGTTTCGGAACTGTTAATTGTCCCATTTTTCCTCCGGCCGCCATAAATACAATACGGAGCCGAAGCGGTATGATGTATGGCGCGATACACATAAATATCACCGGGCAAAGCGGCAATATACCAACAGCGCAAATATCAGCGGGCCTGTAACTCACGCGCGCGCGAACTCTCGCGTTCACCTCTCTCCCCCCGGCGTTCCTACACTGGCCCGATACCTCGGCCAACAAATACTTTTTTCAGTTAGCCCCGATTACCGGCCGCGGCATAAATAATTATCGCTCGACAGGCAATCGTTAACGAGACCTAATGGGTTACAAAGTAGCAAGGGTTATTATTTTCCCCTAACGCGTTCCTTCGCCCACCAATTATCCGATCTTTTCGCGATACGCATTAAAGCGCCTCCGTGGTAGGACTCGTTTTCAGCGCGGCGCATTCGACTCGGGGATAAAAACTTGCGCAAAGGGAACACCGTCGCGATTAATACGCTAATTCCCGAATGGACACCGATGTTCGTACGAATTTCATCCCTCATTAATCGTTCGACGAATCGAATTCATCAACAGCCGGCTGATAACGAGCCGACTCCGCGAGCCGGCTCCGCTCGTTCCGGCCGGCCGTTACGAGCAAAGTTCGCGCAATTACGACGATGAATAACGATTTTCGGCGTAGGCGTTGCGTACCGATGCCGAGCGCGCACGCGCGCGCGAAACCCTCGTAACCGATCGTCGGATGAATACCGAGACGCCTGACCCCCGGCTACGAATCGCGGTATTTATAGGCGTGCTGGATCGCAAGTAGATTAAGAAGATAAGATTCGATGCGAGCTTCGATTCCGATTGTCTTTAGCCGACCGGTACCTGCCTGCTAGCCTGCCGTTACGCCTAGACCTAGTTTATGCGTTACACTTGTTCCCGTCGCGACGAGCTTCTTTGTTGCAATTTATGCGAGCCCTGATGGAAGAATTAACGACCGCTTCTCGGCGTATCGCGTTGGATAACGATTTCTCTCGTAGAATAATCGAGAGGAAGGTTCAGAGCTTCGAATCCCCCATGAATGATTCGATTCTTTCTTTTACGACTTCTCTCGCGATGAATCGGCGAAAAAGTATCATTTGGTTTCGAATTACCTCTTGAATAAAATTGTTTCTAGACTCTCTATCCGAATACATAGGAATACGTTTATCGAATTCACGGTAGCCTCTAGCACATCATAATACGCGAATTCATCGCGCAGCGTCGCCAATGCGGTCGTCTATACGCGAAGTAACCCACGCTAACGAATAAAATAAATTCTATAAAATCCATAGAAGTTGAATAAACAGTTTCGCATTGTTCTCCCCGCGGACGGTTGCACTCGAACCTGTCCCACGTTTCCTTTCGTTCTTGAACGCGGCGTTCGCATACCGGAAGACCGTGGACGGTTTTATGGACACCTACGTTTGCCGAAAGGTAAAAACTGTACGAAGTATTACAAAATGAACACGTTTTTCTTGTGCGGCGCGGCGCGTTCGGTCAGACCGAACGACAAGATCGGTAACAAAGCGAGAACGAGAGAGTACTCGGAGGCACGGAACACGCGTATGAAAAGCATGTTCATTGTATTAAGGAACCGGGTCCGCTTCACGAGAGGCATTATACAACAAAATACGTACCGTGAAACACAACGAGATATATATTTACGATCGTCGCGATGGCGGCGCGGCGGCGCAACGAGTGACACACGTTAACAGTCCGACTGACGATTTGCAGCGTGTACTCTACCCACGCTGTCTACAGGCCGCGCCGAATATCTATTGTCACTCGATACGTAGTCGGATGTGTAGGGTTTTTGTTCCTTTGACTCGAATTCCACTCGTTACCTGAACGCAAAAATTGTAATGAACGCCGGAGGAAACAATATACATACAACACCGGGGATCCGCGGCAACGGCTGAGCTCTCGCCGCGGAAACAGTTCGCTTTCTTTTTTAATCCCGGCATCGAAGCCCGCAACGAAGGGACGGCGGAATAAGTATTTTCGAAGTAACGCGCGTCCCTTGATAACGCTTTCCCTATTCAAATCGGAACCTTTAAATGCTAATTGATCTGGATAAGTTTTTCATTTCGTACAGCGCGGCAGAGGGAAACAAAATATCACGGCGGACACGTTCCCCTATAGGTTCTAGGTTTATGCTGCTCGTTAAAGTTTCTTTATTCAAACGTGATCTTAAATGCAAATTATACGGGGTGAGTTTTTTCAGATTCATGGAATACAACGAAGGGGATGGAACGTCATCGACGAGACGTTTTTCCGTAGACGAGCGACTCTTATTGCGTCTCTGTGGAAGTTATAATTTATAGGCAAATTACGTTGAGCAATTCTTATTAATTTCATAATACGCTCCTTCGGATACGTAAAGATGGCATACCTCGGTAAAGTTGTTTTATAAAAATCAAACTCTAGACAGGTATTACTCGAATTAATCTTTATAGTTTCACGAGATACGCATGAAGGTGATACAACCATAAACCCAAAGATCGCAATCTTAATGAAAGTTCGTAATCGAAATAATGTCTCTCGGGATAATTTTTTAACGCCGACGAGTACGGGGAAAAGGAAAAGAAACATTATCGAAAAGACATTTCCCCCGTGATCCGACGGAAGATCGCGGACGCAGACGCACGTAAAACGGAAGCTCTAAAGACTCGTGTATACGGGACACGCGGGATCGGAATTTGACGGCGCCAGACAACGAATGGCCAAATTACCGTGAAAACGTATTTACGATTTCGTTTCATTGTAAATCAGCCGACGGTTACGGCGTCATTACATCATGCGCCGGGGTTCCTTCCTGAAACGGGGCACGGAGGCGAGCTGCCGCCCGCGCGTGTGCGCGGAGGAGAGACACGCGTGAAAAGCTCACGGCGAACACCCACGCGGCGCTCGTTCGCTTTCCAATGCTTCATTCCGCCTCGCGAACGACCTTTAAACGTTCGCCTCGCCGGCTCGTTTTATGCGTCGTCTTCATTGTCCAGGGAACGCGTGCGCTCGAAAGCGCGGTGGTTGTCAGCGTCGCGATTTCGCGTCGCCCGTATAAAAGGGAGAAACGGCGACGGTAGCGTCGCGCGCTTTTTCGCCTATCCGCTCGACCATTGAAATAAATAACCCCGCGTTATGGGGATTCCTCGCAACGCGGGATAAACGGGGGCTGAATCGGTGATTACGCAACGCGGGCGCTCGGCTCGAAAAGAAATTCAAGAGCCTGCGCTCTTAAGGTAATAGTAAAGAGTTTCCGATGCGAAACTTTCCGCGGAAACTTAATTTCACGGTAAATCAAGATCGACCTCGTAACTTAATGAAACTGCGAACGGAATTATTAGATCTCACCTGGGGCAACCTTATCGTCGAAAGGTCAATATCTATTAAAGAAGTATGCATGCTCGAAGAAGCTATTCTTACCCTCCCGAAGACATCTTTTCCTTCTCGAGGCTCGATTCGAAAGGGAACACGACGATTAAATATTATTCTTCTTCTCTTCGACGCGAATCATCTCCGGTCGCCACGTCTCACCGTCGTTGCATCGGTTTAAGATAAACACCGGGCCCCGGTGTCCCTGAAGACTCGGGCCATATGAATTTTCAATCGCCTCGCGCGCGCAACATGTCGAAGGCCCGGGCGGGACGGCGTCGCGGCGTGAAAAAACCGGAACCCGCGTGTACACTGACACGCCGCGGAATAACAAACTGCATATTTATGAGCTTACTCTGAAAACGGAACCACCGCGCCGGTCGCGGCGGGAAGAGACGGAGCGCTGGTTAGTGGCCGCAGCCTGTGGTTTCCGTCGTTCGGTGGGCCGAGCTACGACGGCGATCAGCTTTGACTCACTGAAACGGCTACTCGGAACACCTTGTATAATGATAAGTAGATCCGCAGCGGTGGCGGGCACCACTCTGGCGTATGTACGTGTGTATGACCTAACGAGATTGCCGGGTACATGCATAAGAATGCGCGGTTAATTAACCGCGCCGTATCGGGCATCTGATTGGCTGTTTAATTGAATTAGGCACGGCCGTGTATACGGTTTCTATGAGACTGAATATATACGCGGTGCCAGCTCCGTACGTACGTGGTAATTACGCTGGTACCTTAGTACGTATACCTGTTACACGCGGCTAGTGGGTGCTGTTCGCCGCGCGCTACAGAATGCCAATTGCGTTCCCCGCCATTTTTTCCTCTTTCTCCGATTTCCCTGAGTCCCTCTCACCTTCTCCTCCGCCGCGTGTCCTGCCCGTTTCGTTTTCCGTTTCCATCCTCCGTGTTGCTTCGCCTCGGATCCCACTCTTTCGGCGCCGATCTTCCGCGCGGCGCTGTGTTCCCTCATTTTCTACAATCATGCAAATTACTATAAATCACCGTTCCAGTCTGTGTACCGTCGGTCCGCCTGGCGTTGCAGTTCTGTCGAACGACCCCGTGTACCGCTATCTGATCGGTTCCGTTGAACCGCTACCGCTTAGCAGCAATGAGTAGCTATCTTAATTTAGAAAATGAACTGGTTTACGGGCGGAGGCGGGAGCAGCAGCCGCATACTGCGCTCGAGATAATCCTGCTCGTTGGACGACTGTCGGCTGGCTTTTTAGATCATTCGGTTGCCGCTGCGACGGAAAGACGTACTGATTGCGTAACGAAGCGAGAATGGGGAATTGTAACTCGGCTGGCTTCCATCGAGCTGATACGAGCGATCCGCGCATTTGGCGGAGTTGTTTGGCCGTTGGAATTGGCTACTCGGTCGGTGTCTTGTTTTTCTTGGAACGCAGGAGACATTGGTTCAACGAATTATTAAGTTCACCGAGGGAAAATCTCCAGCTGGCCACCAGGTCAAACGGATCACCGCGGTCCACCAGGAACCGAGCCGATCGACTGTATTTTATATCGCGATAGTTCGAAACGAGTCGAATTAAAAAGAGGCTGAACGTATTTAACTCATGGCGGTGTTTAATGGGCACGGTATTTTACGATACCCGCGAAACGTAAATGGCGAAATGAGTTTTCGCTATTGGCAATAAATTGGGTGTTCGAGTGTTGATAGAAAAGATAGGGAGGACAACGGGAACCAGTGAAATCGAGTAGCGAACGGGGAAGCCAATCGGAAAAGATCGACGCGCGGGGATACACGTAGAAATGCCGGCTGGCTCGAACTAATTATCCGTCCGTAAATGGAATAGAAACGTTAGCAATCTATGCGGTACGTATCGTATGCCGATTGCGGGGCAGCGTGTATGCGATTTCTGAACGAGGACGAGACCGAGCGAGCGAGAGCCCGGCGAACGGCACAAAGTTCATGTGAAAGGGGAACCAATGAGCATGAAACATGCGGCGAATATATACGTCCATACGTCGGGTCTACCCATACGTTTAGCAAAGAATACACACGCTCGAAAGTAATCGGTGTATAACCGCTTTAAGACTAAGGCCGTGGTCGCACGAGAGCATCGGGGCCACGTAGCTTGTACCTCAACGTTGCGAACCGCGCGAGCGGACACAAATTTCATTGAGTCGCGTATACGTATCTGCATCGTGGATTGTTAGCGGACTTCGCGCTGAAATAACACGGGGAATTTTGTACCGGGTTGTTCGAGACCGTTCCAATGAGTCACATCGTCGCGCGAAGCTAATTAGGAGAAGTATGATTGAAACGATCACGGCGGGACCGGTAAGAAAAATATCGGAGAAAGTATCGCGAACATTTTCGAGTTACCGAAACGAATTTATAGAAAATCGTTCGGTACCTCATCGAATACTTTCTATCCCGACGCGTCGGGTTATAAAACCTAATAGGCCTTAAGAATAATAGTAATAATAACCATACCATCCTCCAATAACCATTTATCGTCTGTGCGCCGACTTTCTATCTGCGTATGAGGAAACGAAAATATACACGTCCGAATTAAATTAGTTCCCAGATGGAAATGTTTCTTCGGGTACTTCGAAGTCAAACGCTGCGCGCGCTAATGCGAGTACGGCTTCAAAGGGAACAGAGAATTTAATCTCGCGGGGAATTACCGATTCGCGAACGTATCTAATAATCAAGATTTACTGGTTTGCCGGTCACCGTTAATCTTCCCGCGCGGACTGATGCGTGGAACTTCAACGAAATTTAAGATGTCTCCGTACACGCCGCACCAAGTGATTCGTAAATTGTTCGGCGAACAGTACAGGAATTGTAGACCCGCGAGTGTTGATTTATGTTTATACGGCGCCCGCGGACCGTGGTAGAATCGTGTTTGTGTTACTCGTGAAATTCCATTTGCGAGCTGCTAGTCGCTGGCGGATTGTCACGATTTTGATAGAGGAGTATAGAGAATCGGGAACGTCTTCGCACGTTCGGGACATGAATCTCTCGATTGAATTCGGAATCGAGCGTCGTGTGGGAGTTCGATTAATTTCGTTCTGCCGTGATCCAAGATGAGGTAAGCGTTTATCGAAAAACAATGGAAGATTCAAACGGAGTAGATTTTTCAAAATTTTCTTTAATTATTCAAGAATGTTCGGAAATCATTTTACTCGGCTAGCGTGACGTAAATTATGGCCCTGCGTAACTTTGTCATGGCATTAATACATGCATAAACTAGAAGATATATAAAGCGAGATAGGAAAGTTTCGAGAATAATTTATTTCAATGTTTTATTTAGAAAATTTAACGGACGCGGGGGCACTGATTGCAGTACTCTCGAGACTATTCCGTTTCGTCGACGATAAGCTCGTTTCCGTTTAACTTTTCATACAGACTTCCGAACGAAATTATCCGAGAAACTTTATTGCCATTTTTTGCTCCTGATAAGATCCTTAGAAATCTGCCAGGATTTGTGGACTGCCTTGAGATCGTATCGTTCCTGTTACGAGGACCCGATCGTGACGCGTTAACGAATTCACCGAGAAACCGAAACAATTTAATGGCTGGGATCGACAAATTGCGCTTCTTTCGCGATTAAACGGTGCACTTGCATTTCCCTCGAGTATAATCGAGGTCCCTGTTCGGAAAAAAGGCTACTTCGACTTGGCTGGCTGGCTGTATCCGCGTGTTTTCGTGCCAGCTCGTCGCCGTGCAATGGAAAAAACCAATTTCCCCTGTGGCGAACGGACGGCTGGAGGTTGAAAAAAGAGGAGGAGGGAGAGGGAAAGAGAAGAGGGGACGAAGAGACAGGGAGGAAAAAAGAAATTAACGTGCGATTTCCTAGACTCCGACTGTGCTTGCCAAAGGGAGCAAACACGCCCCAATTTAACACTTTGACTGCGACCTGTATAACGAAACACCGGGTAAACGATGCGCGCGGTTCAACGTTCCGGCGCTACGTTTAAGTGAATGCCTCCGCGGGAAATCAAGTATCGTTGAATATGAAAATCGAAGTCCGACGGGCACGGTTTTTTATACGACGATACTCTCCGGGCGATCGATAATCACTGTTGCGGCAACGATCCCTATCAGGACGCTCGGATGATCCTTCGCTCGAGATACGCCTCCTCCCGATGGTAAATTAACCACCCCGCAGCTTGCGCTTCTATACATCTCTCTATATTATTCGCCGCATAATATATCATATATTATACCCGACATGTAACTCGTAATAACCACCGCAACTGTGGAACATATACTTTCTACATACGTTGTAACGAAAAAGAGCGCACCTTTCACTTAGTCTCCGTTACTCCTTCCTCGATCATTATATATCCGTGAATAAGGCGAAACGAAGATTTACCAAACTACTCCATTAATTCTGAAACAGTTCTAATCTCGAGATCCTTCTTCATAAAATCAAGAACATGAATCGCTTAGCGAATGTCCAAGTATTAAGCCGCGATTAATTATCCAGGAATTCCTACTTTCAGGCGTCTTAAAGTTAACGCGACTCGAGTCTGCGTGTACAGCGTCACAGCGGTCGCAACACGGGGCAAAAAATTAACGAAATTCAGACGCGGAGGGTAATATTCGAGAAGATACTTCGACAGGGTCCTGAGTGGCTGACCGGAGGTTAACGATCACGATAGATTTCCCTTGATGTGTCAATCGGGGGATCGCAGGGGAAGCACGCGCGAAGCACAAGGTGGACAGAGGAGCAGGACAGCGAGTCGGCTGGGGATGTTGGTTGAAGCGAGCCGCGAAGAAGGACGAGTCTGGAGACGAAGAAAGGTCAGCAGCAGCAGCGGCAGCGGCGGCAGCAGCAGCAGGCGAGGACGATGAGAGGTAGGAAGGAGGGAGGGCAGGGTTCTGGAGAGGGTTTCAGTATGGGCATGCACGATGCACGTAGCGAGATAACTGGTTTCGCGCAGCCTGCTATCATGGCACTCTAATTACCAGCCATTACACCCGGCGAACCCCTCTGAATTGTTGCGTTCTCTACCTACACTCGTACTAACCACTCGACCACCGAGACCGGTGTGCCCTGACCGCAGCTTTAAATGCAGAATTAATATACCGGCCGGCACTCATTTTGCGCCGGCGTTGTTGCACGTGGTTTTCTTTCGTCCCGCGCTCTCCCCTCCTTTTATTTTCCATTTGCGCCGCGCCGTTTTCCCGCCTCCAACCAACACTCGAACAGTTTCGTCAATGTTGCATACGGATTCGGTGTTGTTACGAATATGAAAATAAATCGCGGGGTTCCTGGCACGCTACGAAGCATTTGGAATAGTTCAACGAGGTTACGAACTGTATGAGAATGTAATAAAGACTTTACCAGATTACGAATGTTTCCCTCTGGTACCAAATTCTGCGAATTGTACAATGAAAGTTTGTATACGCGTATGAAAGAATTATTTCTATTGTAGGTGAATTCTTAAGTTTGCTAGTGCTAGGAGCTCAGTTGAAGAGGAATATTTGGAATAGGATATTACGCTTTTAACGATCACTTTTTGTCTATGATTAATGTGTATTCATTATAATCCATTCTCTGAGGGATTCAAATGGGTGAAACGTAGGACCAATTACTAGATACGTTGATCATCCCGCTTCTCTCCAATCTTCGAAGATGCTACACCGTAAACGTTAGGCCAATTTAAATAAGGAATTCCATTTTCTCCGGGCAGACGAAGAAAGCGAGAAGATTGGCCGCGTTTCAGACGGCCGAGTAGAATCGAGCCGGGACGAGCTTTCTCATGCGGCCACTTTGAAAAATCGCGGTATTAAAGGGGACCTTTGGACCCTTATCTAAGTTATTGTCCAGACCTGGTAGTACCTCCGGAGATTGCTCGGACGGAATGGCGCGAAGTTATACGTGCAGGGGACGCGCGCGTGTGTACGCGCGACGCCACGTCCACCAGCGTGAAAGGGGCTCAACGAAGGACGATGTCGAGACACGAGGATCTCTCTGCCTCCCCCTACCACGAAACCGT